AAAAGTGCATAAAATAATAGATCTATAGTTAAATATTCACCAAGGATAACAAAACACATAGCAAGAAAGACAAAGAGTAGTAGATTTACAAAGGACTAGCCTTGAAGAAATTATGTCCTACAAAGAGTAGTAAACTTACAGAGAACTAACCTTAAAGAAATTATGTCCTACCTACGATAGCACTCTAGCATGCCAACACAAGTGTGCATTTAATATCTTTGCTATACTATATATAATACATATGTTAATTTAAACCACTTAAAACACATTTATAATTAGTAAATGTGGGACTAATACTCACATATTATAATTAATTACATATTTTCCATCTATGGAATCTAACCATATAAATGGTATTCTTCCAAGGAATATTTTTTCACATAAATCCTCCAATATTCCATTTATACCAACAAAATATGAGGGTAGAATAAGAGTTTTCAAAGTATCAAAAAACCCCCCTTAAATTTAAGGGTTATCATAAAACCCCCTTCAACTTGAAGAATTTTTTCATAAAATTAAGTGCGATTGTTACAAGAGTGGGTAAAATTACAAATATTTTTTGCCAGTAAAAATTGTTATTCACGCTTTTAGAGGATTTTCAAAAATTGCTGAAAGTGGAAGGGAGTTTTTTTTGATAAACCCTAAATATAAGGGTGGGGTTTCTAGTATTTTGAAAGTTTTCAGGGGTTGGTTATATGACAACCATTCAAAGTTAAGGGGTGTTTTCTGAAATTTAGCCAAGATTCTTTTCATTTCCAAAGGGTACACCTAGGAGATAAACACAACCGCTAGCCATAAAATGACAGTCTTTCTTTAAGATCTTAGACTTGCTGAAAAATTCAGCAACTTTGCTGTACCAACCAATTGCGCTACTAAACATTTTTTATACCATGAGGTTACCAAATATTCTGAAGACAGAACAACATATCATAATCTGAGAAAATATAATAAACAAATGAGAGCCTAATTAATCAAGAAGCTCTATGCATGCATGCATGGAATCTTCACACATGCATGGATATCCGAATCTTATTTCCATTGAGAAATCTCGCCATATGTGTATTTTGATAGCAATAGATAACCAAACTCTCAACCACAATAATCCAAAAAAGAAAAGAAAAAAACTTCTCTCTTGAATCTTCTCACGACTACTTGTAAGTCTTTGTACAAGTCGTGGATAAACCCTTGTACGTACTATGAAGTACTTGCATCTAAAAGTTTATACGCATGATAATATAATTGTAGGAATGATTCCAATATTACAGTCTTAATTACTTATGTGCATTTGCTCAAACCACAACCATGTTGAGGGATATCCACGCAATTCTCTTGTTTTGGTAATTTTAACATATGTTGTTTTTTCTATGAACTTTTAACATATATTGTTAATATTGATAGAGTTTTCTATGAGAAATTTACGATAGTTTGCGTGGATTAATTGTTTCACCGACTTTTAAACTTTGATTTCTTAAAGTTTAAACTTTTATCATTTACACTGAAATATTACATTATTGTTCATAAATATGTTTTGGTTGCAATTTACAGGGATTTATTTTGCTATAGTTTAATATAAAACTAATATTATACGTGCTTGAAAAAATGAATTTATTTTTTATTTCCATTAATTACCTTAAGGTTATAAATAGCAAAAGAAGGAAGAAAGGAATTCAACATGATTCATTTTCCGTTTACGTATAAAAATCTGAATATTCTCATGTGTTTGCGTTTTATACGAAACTCTAAACGGTCAACGGTGATGTAATTGAAGGCATTGAAGTTAAAAAGTAGTGTTCAGACAAATATATTCTTAAGATAGAACAACTAATCATAATATGAGAAAATATAATAAACAAATGAGAGGTTTGTTACCCAAGAAGCTCTATGCATAGAATCTTCACACATGGATATCCGAATCTTATTTCTATTGAGAAATCTCACCATGTGTATTTTGATAGCAACAGATAACCAAAATATACTCAACCACAAGAATCCAAAAAAAAAATTCTCTCTTGTGAATCTTCGCCATGTAACTTTGAGAAATCTCACCATGTATCTTTGTACAAGATGCGGATAAACCTTTGTACGATCAAGTACTTGAATCTAAATGTTTATAGGGAGGCACTATAATCACACCCCAACCACACTCCTCTCTTGTTACAGTGCACTGGGGCCCACATGAGAATTTATTTAAAATTCTCATGTAGACCCCAGTGCACTGTAGCGAGAAAGGAGTGTAGTTGGAGGTGTGGTTAGGGGTGTGCCTCTAGCATTTTCCAAGTTTATATGCGAGATAATTGTAGGAATAATAATTCCAAAGCAAATCTTACTTATGAGCATTGCACAAACCATAACCTTGTTGAGGGATATTCATGCAACGTACGTTAATGTTGTTAAGAGTTTTCTTCGAGAAATTTATGATAGCCTTTAATGTCTTATAGTTTCACCGACTTTTAAACTTTGATTTCTTGAAGTTTAAATTTTCTCAAAAGGTGCCTCAAAATTTTTACCACTCACACTAATACCTTGGATAGCATGATTGTTCATAATTTTGTTTTGGTTGTACTTTACAGGTATTTATTTTGCTATAGTTAACGTCAGTCTGATGTTAAATGTGTTTGACAAAGTGAAGAAATGAATTTGTTATTTTATTTTTAATTGGCTTAAGGTTAAATCACAGAGGGAAGAAAGGGAATCGAGGAGATTTATTTTGGCCCCGTTTGGCAAAGGGTTAAGGAAGAGGAGTTAAAGATAATGATTAATGTATTTAGCCTATTCGATAATCTGAATGACTAAATTATTAACCCGTTAAATAAGTTTTAGTTTAGTCATTGTGATCAGTTTTAGTGTTTGGAAATAACAATGATTTTAACTATTTTTTTTTATAATTAGAAGGGTAACTCTTAATCCTTCTAAATAAGAGTATTAGTAAACCCCTCATTTTGAGGGGTTAACTCATTTTAATCCCTGTAGAGGTTAACTCATTTTGAAGGGTAACTCTTAATCCTTGTGATCAGCTTAACCTTTCTATATTTTTTATGCTTGACAAATTATGACAGGTTAAGAAAGGGTTAAGTCTCCTTAACCCCTCACTTAACCCTTTGTCAAACGGTACCAAGGTTTACGTAAAATAAATCTCAGTATTATCATGTGATATTGTATTTTATACAAAATTCTGAATATGACTAACAGAAGGCAATAAATTTAAAAGTAGCACAACCTTGGAATGTTATATGTTGTATATATGTATATATATATATATATAACGTTAAATGTATCAATGTACAATCAACCATTTTTATAATTTAATGAACTTTAATGAAATATATTGTCAAATATAAAATTCATAGTGGTTTAGCCAAGGATTTTTTTTTGAAATAGACTCATTTTATAATTTATTCTGAAAAATCAAACTACTTAGGTTTTATTCATAAAATTCGACTCAGTTTCAGCCATGTCAGCAGCACTGACTGAAACTGATTTGATTTGAAAAATCAATGTTTAATTTTTAATTAGTCAGGGTCGGCAATCCTGTATAATTAGAAGATCATTACAACAGATAAGTTTGGTGAACTCATTTATATTGAACATAGATCAAAATAGTCAGGATCGCCGAGCCTTTTTATTTTGAACTATATTCAAAATAGAAGAGGTTGGTGGCCCCCAATATGATGAACCATGTAACCCTTTGGCCTATGTTTTATGTATGGGTTTCCGAAACCCCACTTATATTTAAGAACTTAATTAGCTCTTCCCTAACTAGACGGAGTTGCCAACCTCGTCTTATGAGTAAACTTCATTTTTTGAACGAGGTTTTCATTAGTACCATATTTACTTTTATCAAAATTGATACTTACTATTTTTAATATTTTTTTGGATTAATACCACTTGTACTTGCTAACATCTATCACACATATTTGAGTTTTCAACATAAAAAACACGTGAACTGACAAAAATATCCTCACCCTGAGAACATGCAAAGCATGTGTGTCCAATTAATTATAAAAAACAAAGAATTTTTTCAATAGTAATCCCCCAAGTTTTTCATGTTTTGATAATAGAAACCAAAATCATCATATTTTGAAATTAGTCCCCCAAATCGATGTCTTCTTCAATCTACTGCCGCCATACTCACCGAAGAGGGTTATAAGGAGGCCAATTAATCTTTTGCTCATTGGCTAGAGTTTCGAGTGTTTTTTCTTGGATTGAAGAGGGGAGGAAGAGAGGATTGAGGGGAGGTGGGCGTTAGGGTTTGGGGGAGGATTGGAGGGTTTGTTTCTTGGATTGGAGGGAGGATGGAGGATTGAGAGAAGATGATGTTATGACTTGGGGATTGGAAATTTGGGTTTGGGGATTGGGCTAGGATGTGGGGATTGGGGTTAGGAGATTCATGGTTGTTTTTGAGAGAGAGAGAGAGAGGGAGAGAGAGAGAGAGAGAGAGAGAGAGAGAGAGAGAGAGAGAGAGAGAGAGAGAGAGATTTGAGGGATTAATTTCAAAAGATGAAAGAGTTAGATGACTAATATTGAAAAAACTATTAACTTTGTAATTAATTAGAGCACACGTACAAAGCACGTGCCCTTAGTTAGGAGGGTAAAATGATCGGTTCACGTGTTTTTTAAGCTAAAAACTCAAATATGCATGACATTGCAAAAATAGTAGTAAGTAAAGGTGGTATTGGCGAAAAAATATTAAAGGTGATAAGCAACAATTTTGATAAAAATAAAAATAAATTTTTATGTTAAAACCCTTTCTAAACTCGATCCAATTTCCGCCAAAGATGCTAACGGCCTTGATTTGATCGAAACTGGGTAGGTTTTTATAATTAAATTTTAGCGGGGTCAATTTTGGGGAATGAATTGTTTAATGGAGTCTATTTAAAAAAAATTATCCTTCTGTGGAATTTTACCATTTATTAAATTATTATTAATCACTAAAATATTTTCCTCAGATAAGACAAAAGACGCTTCGTTAAAGCAGTCACCGCTATATCGCTTCATCGCAACAGATAATTTCAACCATTTTCCCTTCGATTTCTCCCTCCGAAAACCCCGCCCCTTTTCCCTCTATTTCTCTCTCAGATCAAATCTCTGCCCTAATTCAGTTTTTTAAAACCCTTTTCAATCTCTCTCTCTCTCTCCCTCCTCTTTCTCTCTCTAGAAATCTCTGAGATCCACTGAGAAATGGCCATGGAGATCGAAGATCTATGCCATCACGTCTCAATCTCCTTCGCTCAAGATGTCGTCTCCGCCAAAAAACGACGCGTCCGAGCAGTTCCTACGGCCTTCATACCGCAACAACCTCAAACAATACGAAATTAGGGTTTCCGACGTTCCCTCCGGTTTCTAGGGTTTCGATAAAAGAGTAATTTCTTAAAATCTCACGACCTCCGACTTGATTGCTCCAGATATCGATAATTCGGCGGTTTCTTTAGGTTTCTTGTTGAATTTGTGAGAAAAGACGACGAATTTCACCAGGTGTGCTTACAAGCAGTTTCTTGGATTTCGCGTTGAGAAATGGCAGAGAAGTTTGGGTAATTGCTTAAGATCTTGGTAAATTCAGTAGTTTCTCTTGGTTTCTTTTGTTGACTTTGTGAAAAAAGACTTCAAATTTGAGTGTCCTGTAGGTTTCCGTCGACAAATTAGATTAAACTGAAGGCTTTACCATTTAAAGATCAGGGCTTTATTGGTGTCCATGGGAGGAAAGGAATTAGCAGTAGTTAATAACACGAGGCCGCTTAATCTGAGGGAAATTTCAGCAAGAGCAACCCTGAGGGAGATTCGGCTTCAGGGTCATGTATATGTCGAACTAAGACAAGTTGGGAAACGCAGCATCTTCTTCTGCACTCTTTGTCAGACTCAGTGTTTCAATGATTCCGTGTTGAATGATCATCTCAACGGTAATCTCCACTCCCGAAGATATGCTGCTGCCGAGGTTACTCTGTTTGGTCCCAACCCTTGGCCTTTTAGTGATGGCGTTCTCTTCTTTAGTACTTCAACTGATAATGATATCAATGGCCATGAAGCAACTTCAAACTTTACTGGTAAATCTAGTAGTGGCGGCGAAGTTGCAAATGGTTGTAAAAAGGATACTACTTGTGTTAGGGGTCATGATAAAGCTTCCAAACGTAATGGAAAGAATAGTTGTCGATTTATCCCCGGTGTCTTATTTAAGGCGGCAATTAGGAATATAAAGGCAAAGTTTCTTGGCTATGGTCATATTGGAGCTAAGGTTTGTGAAACAGCTGATGGTCACCGAGATATGACCAGAATTTGGTGTGCTTGGTTGGGACAAGATTCTTCGACTGACTGCCAAGGCTTGCTATCATCTCCCAAATGTGATTTTGCTATAATGAGTTTCTCATATACATATGATTTAGGTAGGAAGGTGGCTATTGATGAGGCACACGATTCATTTTCTCCTGGTTCTTTCTTTGAGATTGACGAACTTGGTCACCGCAGAAAGAAGAAAAGGAAATCCTTTTCAGATCCCGAGGATTCCTCAGATAGTAAGGCTGACCGGTTGAGCGGTTGTAGTGGAGATGCTTCGGGTCAACTTCATGCTTCAAGACTGATATCCAACAAGTTTACCAGGAAAGAATTAAGGAAGCAAAAGAGTCTCACTGCAGAAAGAACTTGTGATATTTGCGGCCAACTGATGCTCCTCGGGAAAGATGTTTCCACGTTGCTTAATTGCAAGACTGGTAAATTAGCTTGCAGCAGTAGAAATACAAATGGGGTTAGTGTTTGCATGTTTTACTCAATGCTGTTTTAACTGAAGAAGATGTTTTTTGTTGACCTCTCTTTTCAATGTGTAGGCTTTTCATTTATTTCATACCTCTTGCCTTATCCACTGGATCCTCCTTTGTGAATCTGCAATGTGGAGTGGTCAGTCAACAAATGGGAAGGCCACGACAAGAGGAAGAAAGAGTAAACAGGCGCAAAAGAATAGTATTGCTAAATTTTGCCCAGAATGTCAAGGCACAGGCATACATATCGAGGGAGATGAACTGGAAAAACCAAGATGTCCTCTTTCAGAGGTTGGTGGGCACAAGTTTTTTCTTCTAAAGTTATTTACCTATCAAGAGACTTTTCTACTATCTATTTATACTCACGGGTTAATGACAAACTATTCTTTTAGGTGTTCCTTCATAAACTGAAAGTCATCGAGGCAAATAAGGCATGGATGAAAAAACCTGAAGACCTCAAGAAATGCTCAACGGGCCTTCATTTTTCTTCAGACTCTGATAAGATTTATATTCAGGTGACGTAGTACCTTGACTGGCTTATTGAATAACTTCATGATATTGTTATATTATTTATTTTAACTCATATTACTTTGACCACAGGAAAAGGTGGTGCCGTTGAAGCTGTTGCATTTCTATCGAGCTGATGAATAGAAGTGGATGCAAATCATAAGTTTCCACAGGTTTCTGTGAAGACTGCAGGTCGATAATGTTATAAATGCTATGTAAATTTTCTTAAGTTGCTGAACACATCTTTATGATTAGCTATGTGGAGAGAATATGCTTACAGTAGTTTCAAGATTGTGTAAATGTCAATGTTGTACACATGTATGATATCTGATACTTGTTAGTTGTCCTCGAAATCTAAAAACTTCCATGCTTTGTCGAAAACTTAAGTCAAATTGTATATGACATGGTTTTAGTTCCCCAGAAAAGCTTTATGCAAGAACCTATCTTGTGAACCTGTTATGAATTGATATTTGGACTAAAAGATCGTCAAAGACTTGTTTTTTTTACTGGCAAATGATGAAGAAAACTTAAACTATCCATATTGGTATGCTTATTCTTTTATTATTTATTTTCTATTGTAGATAGGAAATTTCAGCATGTTGCTAACTTCTGTTCGTATTTGAAATTCATGTACCTATTATGTCTGCTGCAGCTTTGGTTATCTAGAATTTCCATTGGCTATGATGCACTGATTTTTCTGTATCGTATCTGAGTTTTCATTAATGAAGTAGCAATTAGATTGGCTATTTTATATTTATGTGGATAATTTCATATTTAAGTGTAGTCCCATATTGGAAGGTTAAAAAAGAACGGTAGACTTACATTCGAGTTGGAGGCTTGGAGCGGATAACTAATAGCTCAAGTCTTTGGGTGAATTAGGTTCCTAGACTCTAGTTAAGGCCCACAAACTCCGATTGGGCCAAAATTCTACCCATCAAGGAGGAACAATAGTTAGCAATAGATGGGATACTCTATGTAGTCGATCAATATGCATGCGCAGAAATACCTTTTGATGGTCTATTTTCTCTTTTAAATCTAGACCTTGTTAATTGCGGAAATGTCTTTATAAATCTTTTACTGATGCTATGTTGTCATGTGATTTCTGGCTTTACTGTTGAATATTTTACTGGTTGCATCTTTCTCCTTGGGTTTTTGAAAAGATGCCAACTTGGATTCAATTCTATTTTGTGTAAGTGCTGGAGAGCCTTACTGAAAATTTCATTCAATTTGAATAATTCATAGATAGTCCTCTACCCAGCTTGGACATAGGCCTCATATTGTGTGAGGGAATGTGAGAATGAAATGACAAGACAGGGTTTAGGCTTTTTGCCAAGCTGCAGAGAGCTTTAGTAGCAAAAGAAGCCAAAGGATTTTTTTTAAGGGAAGAAAAACTAGAAAGCAATAAAATTGGGAGGAAATCAGAATAATTAACATAGTAAAGAAGTAAAATGAGTGATTGGTGCAATTCTTATTGAGAATGATGCATATCAAGAAAAGAAAATGATATGTACAGTGTCAAGATCTTTTAATTCCTGAAGCGTGAGCTAAGGTGTCCCAGAAGCAGCATAGACTATATTGAAGGAGGGCTGAATCTGCTCCTCTGCACCAACAAGCTTCGATTTGATGAGGGTTTCATATGTTTTCTCTTGTTTTCGAGACTTCGAAAGTCGCTTCAGGCGTGGATCTGTTGGCATTAAACAGGATGACATGGTTCCAGTATGCTAACAGATGCTTGATGTTCAATGTTTTTAAACTTCAAAGTTGCAGGCAGTTCTGTCTTCCAGTAACCAGGGCTGATTTCTCCCCTCTTCTGCACTATTTGGCAGGACAAAGGTAACTAAATAAGTTATTTATCTATTCTACGATGTTATGAGTCAGTATTTTATTTCATTTTATTTGTCTGTTATGTTGGGCGACTTTTGCACCTGAAGGGTTGATTATGATAATTTGTTATGGAATTTTCTTCTGATTAATTATTTTGTCCAACAATTCTCCAAGCATTTTTATGTCAGTCTGGGTGTTATTTCCTTCTTAGGGTGTGTCTGAGAACTTCAAAATTGAACTAGGCTTTAGACAAGTTGATTTTTAACTAGGCCAAAGTTGAACCACGTAGGGGCTGGTTTACAAAAGAACTAGTTTAGGGTCAAGATTTTGAACTAGAAAGAACTAGTTCAATTTGGGCCTAATTTTTGCCAAACTGAAAACAAGGTTTTGGATCAATGTTGTACCACTTAAAAACAAGTTTTGTGGAGTTGCCAATTGCCAAACATGCCCCTAGTGTTGTTGAATCTAGCTTATGCTTTAGTGTTTCTTCATACCTGTTATATGCAGTAATATTTTTGATATTCTTGCTAATAGAACCCCTTGCAAAAACTTTAGCAATAATATTTTCGTCTCACCGAATTGTACATCTTTCATCACGACTATATTTCCTTTGATACTGATTATCTTGCTTCCCTTTACCCCTTTGGCTTGGACTTTTGATGTCTTAATTAATTGTATTGGATACCGTAACCATCATTCGACTTCCCAACTACTGGCCTTTGACATTTTGAACTATTCTTCCCTGAAATATTTTAGCGGGGTACTTGAGTTGGTACTCCATTTTCTGGGAGATGCTCAATTTGATCCCACACAATGTTATTATGGGTGTTTCTTTTAGCCACCATTTTGCAATTTTTAGCGTCTTGCTCCTTAAGAGAAGAAGTCCTGTACACTTAAATTCCATCCAGTTTGCTAATGATCTCATTTTGCATCTCCTAGCTGCTAACTTATGGTGCATAATAAGGGCTACCTGTACCTGAGGCGCTAGTTATCTAATCGTTGAAGCTATTGAGGTGCCCTTATTTTCAATTGTATGTCTAAAACATATTGGTTATTTTCCACTTTAAGCTTGAGTCATGTTATTTTCCCCTACAAATTTACGCATCTTGTCACCCTAGCTGTGGAGCCCTGAAACTTACATGCTTTCTAACTGTATCACTATGTTAATTGATGACCAGTCAATCAAATTGCATAATTGTTTGTATAATTCATTCATTTTCCGAGTAGTTAAATAAAATCCATGGAAACCTGTCAGTTATGCTCTGAATCCCTGAAATCGGATGTTTAATGTGTAGGGACAATTTCGATTCATTTCCTGAAACCTCATCAATTTCTTGTGACAGTATTAGCATAATATTTTTCGATCGGGTAGGAAATTGTTGGTAGCCAAGAGACCTACTTATGATTTCTGTCGAAACTTCAGCGGGAAGCATGAATATGGGCACGGAATACGAACATGACATGGACTCAACAAAACAATGGGTTCCTTAAAAAATCATAACACAATATAACATGCCAGCATTACAACATATTTGTATGTGTACAAGGGGAGGGGACATAAATGCACATAAAATTTGTCCAAGATGTAAAAACAGTGCACATACATAAATGCACATATATTTGTTGCTCATTCATCAACATTTATGCACCTAAAGAAAACTGGAACAAGTTATCAACCACAAGATTGTTATCATTCTTTAGTCTTCTTCATTTGTTTCCTTTCGCTACTTCTTCGCTCGCTTTCGCACGCATATTCAGTGTGATGCTCATTCACATTTCATGTTTAACAAGACAAAAGAAAAGGGCAAATGGTGAATAATATTCCATCACAATGATGTTCCTCTGTGGTGGTATGAAATAGATACAAGTACGAAGAAAGTTGCTATGATTACAGATTCACCGTAAGTTGCAGCATCTCTTTCACAATGCACGTATTTTTCTCCCTCCTCTTTTCTCTCTACAAACCAACTACAACTACATATTTTCCTGAACCAACAGATTGGAATCTTGCAGGCATGAACTAGTTCGAGGAGAGAACACGAAGAAGCTAGGAGAAACAGGCATCGTAGTAGAATTTTGCCCAAGAGTAAGAAGCAAAGGATCTCTATTACCACCATCTCCAATTACTTCTCCACGTGAACCGGATGACGAATTATTACCTGTCAATCTTTGCACCAAACTCATGAAATCTTGAGGCTTAGCGTGGATAATTCTTGGTGAACGAACATGCACAATCACCGGAGGCTCGCGACTAGTGTCTTGCTTCTTGTTTATTTGATGAGAATTCCTGGCTATATCAACTGATGGAGGCCTTGGACGTTGGAGCTGAACTCTGCTAGATGAAGGCATGGTTTTGTTAGTGGTTGATATAATGAAGTACCATTGCGTTGCCATTTATATAGCTGATAGAGTTGAAAGAGTTCATGTAGGAAAAGGTCTATGGCTGAAAGGGGAGACTTCGGAGTTCATATGATGGGTTTTTATGATTAAATTTTTCATGTGAAGTCTAGGTCAAAGCTTTCAAGTTCAACTAACACCGGTTCATGAAATAGAAAAATTAAGTGTTAGTTCGAGGGCAAAATGTCAGATGTAGATATTAAAAGGTTAGAGAAATGGTTACATGATGCACGATGCTTGCTCAATGCGCAGACCGGCTGTCACGGTTAAAATCGTGGCCGCCTTTGTCGGCTTTAAAGAAATACAAACGAGGCTTTTTATGGCCTTTGATGTGAGCAGAATCTCACGGAAGTAAGTGTGACCGAGTCCTGCCATTTTTCATTTTTATATCTGGCAATTTACATCCTCGGGAAATTAAAATAGTTTTAAAAAAAATGGTGACGCTTGTTGTAACTAAACTTGTGGTTATATGGTAGTTGAACACATTTTATGAGATTATTCTAGAGATCTAAAGCATTTTGTCTGATACATTTGAGCAGTATTTGTTGACCTTTAACTAGGGGTGGTAAACGATCGAATCGAATCGAATACTAAGATGTTCGTATTCGTATTTGTTTAAAATTATCGAATTCGAATGTGGACTCTAAAATTCATATATCTAGTTTTTCGAATTCGAACTCGAATACTTGGTATTTGATAAATATTCATGAATATTCACGAATACTTATCGAATATCAAAGTATATTTATTCCGCTAAAGAATTTGATTTTCAAATAGTATTTAAATTCATAAATAAAATTTATTCCTTCATAATATATGATGTATATATATTTAAATCAAAATTTTAATTAGAAAACAGATTTAAGATTATTTAAGTCTTAAAATCAGGATATAAAGCTCAAGTAGAAATGATATGTAGGTTAAAAATATGACATCATATGTGCAATAATACAACTATACAAGTAATATGATGTGATCAAATTTTAAACGAATATTTAATAGACAAACGAATCGAATATACATCTGGTTAAATTCTATTCGTTAGTAAACTCGAATACTAAAAAATATTTGTTTAGTGGTAAATGAACTACCGAATCGAATATGACCGAATACTTTTTCGAACAATTATCGAACTATTTGTTAATTATTTGGTTCATTTCCACCCCTACCTTTAACCTTTCGAATGCCATCTCGCTATTGGTAATATATGATTTTCTTGTGCATTTCAGGTTGTTTGAAATTTAGTCAAAACCTTGAGAAAAGAAATTCAGATATTTTGAATGGCCATCATCCTGTTTTAAGAGTTGCCGTACAAAAATGGATGCTAATAAGGATCAAAAACACGATATGATATTACCGCGATAAGATATTCTTTCTCATATTTACTATCATTGATTCTTTTTATTAGCTAAATTACACTTAATTGTCCTATAGTTTCACCAACCTTACATTTAAGTGACCTCTACTTTGAAACCGAGTAAAAATAAATACCCCATAATATTTAAACATTGCAGATAGATGGCCAAAGTTAAAAAGAACATAGTTCATTTACTTACTCAAGAATACCACATAACATAGGGTACTAAAGTGTAACTTTTAGAAACTTTAGGGCATTTAAATGAGACCATTTCGAACTGCAGGTATTTATGTGCAACATTTGGTAAACAAGAGTGCACCAAAATATAATATTTTAAAAATTTGAGATATTTATCTGTAATAGTTAAATGCTTTGGAGGAATTTATTCGACTGATTTGAAAATAGAGGTAAGATTCGTAAAGCTACAGGGCTTCTAAGTGCGATTTATCCGGGTTTGGGTTTACTTGCAACCTACCCAATTCACATACCACCATCCCACTCACCACTCACGTGACCTCCCGGGATCCGGACACCGCTCCCTGCACCGTTCAGACAGCCTCCAACTCAATTTACGTTATTCACACTCCCGGCGGTGACCACACCCCCTCTCCTCCCCAACCAAAAAATCCCCATTTTTGAGCTTTCCCTCCCGAAATCCCTCGCTCCCCAAAAATAGAAAACCCTAAATGGTCTCCTCATCTTTTCCCGCGGGATCCAAAGTCGAGGTCCGATCCAACGAGGACGGATTCAGAGGCGCCTGGTTCGAGGCCGAGGTCATCAAACCCCTCCCCAAATACCGCCGTACACCGTCTCCTACGACGCCCTCGCTCCGACGATGTCGCGGGAAACCCCCTCGTGGACACCGTTTACTGCACTTCGTCCGGCCTCGCCCCGCCGCCTCGGCCGGCGCGGCGGGGTTCGAGGCCACCAGCTCGTCGAGGCGTTTCACAACGATGGGTGGTGGAGGGGGGTTGTGAGCGAAGTGGTGAAGGGGAAGCGAGGGGTGTTTAGGGTTTCCTTCCCGAGCTCGAGGGAGGAGTTTGAGTTTAAGGGGAAGGAGTTGAGGGAGCTGCGGGAGTGGGTTAAGGGGAATTGGGTTGCCGTCAAAGATCAGGAAGTAAGTGAACTTTGTCGATTTTAGTCGCTGATTTTGAATATCGAGATATATTGGTGTTGTTTCTAATTTGGATGTTGTGTGTGTTGCAAATTTGCGAGAAAGATATCGATTCGCGCAAACGGTAGAAGGAACTAAATTTGGATATGTTTTGTTGCTTAGGTTAGTTTACAAGAGAGTACCCGTTTGTATGTTTTTAGGGATGGGTTTTATGATTTTACATACGGAATACTTAAAGAGTATACAATTATAACCATCAACCTTCAACACAGCTTCGAAGTTTTGGTCTAGTGGAAGGACCTTTTAACATGGTATTATGATTTGATCATATTGAATTCACCAGAGTATAAAATATAGCTCTTAAATCCCACCACAACTTTGGAGGTTTGGTCTAGCGCAAGGGACCTTTTAACATGGTAATAGAGCAACCCCGGTTCAAATCTCAGTGGCTAGGTATTTAAAGTAGATTCAAAAACATTATAGTAGATTCAGAAACAGAAAGTAGATTTAGAAACAGAAGAGACTGTAGCATCAACATGAGTCCAGATTTTAGGCCATAAAAGGTGCTGAACTTCTCCCGCGGGGCGGGGGGGGGTTAAGTGTAAAATTGCAAACATCAACCTTCACCACAACTTCATATTTTCGGTCTAGTAGGAAGGGACTTTTAACATGAATTAACAAAGATTTTTTAAGTGGTCTCCCAAATCTTATGTATTTGAAATAAGTCCCCTCAATCTTTGATATCATGGAAAATATGTGTCTTCATTAACCAATGGCGTTATCTTATTCCGTTATGCATTATCTGTATTTTCGGTCCTTCCCCGCCGTCTTGCCCCCCCCACCACCACCACCCACCACCCACCCAAAAAAATAAAAAATAAAAAACCCACGCACACACATTACTCCTCTCCAATCACACCACAAATGTAGTATCTTCGTTAATCAATGCAGCTGCTAACATTGATGCTAATCTTATGGGGGACAATTATAATGTCCTCTTCTTCAACTCCTCCAACCTTCAAATAAATAATCCATAAAGATGATCAACTCATTCTGTATTAGGGCTTCCATTTTGTCTCCAACACCATCATCGAGCACCAGAACTTCACCTCCAAATCCACTCTCTTCTACACTAAACCGATGCTCCATGAGCACTAAAGAGAGAGTGACAAATATAACTTATTAGAGTAGAGGAGAGAATAATGAAGAGAGGGAGGGAGGGAGTGGTTTTAAACCATAAAACCCAAACAACTAATTCCCTCTATAACATGTTCTTAACTAATGTGGGTTAAGAAACTAAATCGGTATTAATCATACCTGAGTTAATTCCCAATGGAAAACAGTAACACACTCATTTGAGATAACTAATGATTTTCAGGGGACCTATTTCATATATCAAGATTTGGGGGACTTATTTCAAAATACGTGAAATTTGGGGACCAATATCTCAAAAACGTGGCAACAAAGTGGTTGAAGAAACTAAACTTTAAAGTATTTCATGTTGGGGAATAATGTTACCTTCTGCCTTTTCATCAAATTAAAAATTTAACATATCAAGTTGTCGACTTTCTTATTGATATATTCTTTCTCTCTCAGCGTAGAGCTTGTAAACTTCCTTGTGCCTTTTTTGCTTGAACTAAGTCATTCTCATTGAGAAATCATCATCAGACTTTGATCTGACTACTTCCATGTGCTTGGCTTAAAAATATTTCTTTTTCTTAAATTTTTCCTGTAGGTAGAAGAAAAGAATGTTATGTTTGATGTGGGAAGTCGGATAGAAGTAAGCAGGGACAAAGAGAACTATGGAGCGTCTTGGTATGTTGGGACTGTCTTGAAAGTGATAGGGGCAGGCTTTTTCTTGGTGGAATACGAGAATCTAAGAATAGATAGTAGTGGCAGTAATGGAATGCCCCTAAAGGAGATTGTTGATCTGCAGTATATAAGGCCCTCCCCTCCCCCTCAAACAGTGTTTGATAATTTTGTCGATATCTTGGAAGAAGTCGAAGCATTTCGTAAGGGTGGATGGGTAGCTGGAGTGGTCTCAAAGCTTCTGTGTGGGTCGAGATACGTTTTTAAACCCAAGCACTGGGAGGAGGAGATTGAGCTTGACTGGACTGCAATAAGGCCTCACTTTGATTGGACAAACGGTCGCTGGGTTCGCATTTCTCGGGTATCACATAAATTGGACTAGCTCTTTTTCTTCCCCTTCTGTTTTTTGCATCTTGAGTATTTAGGGGATCTTTGTAAGATGAGATAGGAGTTGTTTCTGATTTCATGTATAAGTCTGAAGAAGTTACTGCAGCCGTGCATTCTTTTTCTGGTTCGTTAGAATTACTACTACTACTATTACATGCGTTCATCAAAATGTGATTATTAAAATGGATATAATCAATGCTCATCAATTGTGCTGTTTCAAACTCATAGACTGGACACTTTATTTTCTTACAATCAAAATGTTCAAGTGCACACTCACAGGCATAGTATGTAGATTATATGTAGATTGTGTGCATCTTATCTTAGGTAATCTTTATTTTACTCATAACCGGTCCTTGGTTTCCTTGTTGGTTCTATATTGCAGGAGAAGAGTAGCAAACGACCATCTTCAGGGGAAACAAGAACATATAATCTCCATGAAACAAGAACATATAGTCGAAGACAGAAATCCCGTTTTGTCGAACTATCCAATTTACCAATTTCAATGCCAACTTTTAGTGATAATGGTGGCGAAGTTGCTGGGAGATCTGCTGTTTTGGATTTGAAGGCCAAGAAGCCTGGAGAGCCCACAGCTGAAGGTGGAATCGAGACATCTCAAACTTTCAAGAAGTTGAGGAAAGGACCAGAGGAACACCTGAAGGCAAAGAAGTCTAAGGAGCCTACAGTTGAAGGTGGTATTGAGACATCTCAAACTTGCAAGAAGGTGAAGGAAGGAATAATGCCAGAAGAGCACCTGAAGGTGATAGATGAAACCAAGTCAGTTGCTCATAGATGCATAGAAAGATCTCGCACCCGGAAACATTCTACTCTTTCTATTGCGATGCTTTCCCGCATTAATAGGTATAAAACTACCGAGAGAATTGCTGCCATGCATTTGAAGGATAAAAAGATCAAGGGGTCCAGCTTTAAAGAAAGAATTAAGTCTTCTCAGCCTTGCAATAACCCAAAGAAAGGAAAATCATCGGAAGAACGGATGCGATCGGTTGATAGCATATTGAAGAATTGTTGTACTAAAACCAAAAGAGTGGTAGGAAAAAGATCCTCTGCTGGGCCTACTCCAGGAGATACTGAGATACCATCTCACTGGAAAATTGGAAAAAAATCGATGGAACTGATTCATGAGCAAGACATATCCAAAATGAGTGGTGATGAATCAGCAAACAATGTTGAAGGCTCATCTAATTGCTTCGGTTATGCGTCAAAGCATAAGTCATGGGAAGCTAATTTTGGCTGTTCTCTAATTGCAGGCTGGGGAAGCCATAAAGCCAGGCATGTTAAGACAAAGAATACAAAGATGGAGAGAAATACGAAGATGAAGAGAGACGAGCTTGTGTTACAGTCTGCAGATTGCAAAAGAAAAACTCCTGATGTTATTGTAAGTCATTACCACTTATCACCATTTTTTGATGATTAAATGTATATTCTTCTTTTTTTGCCCCCTTGTTTAGAACCAAGTGAGTTTATATGGTTACCATGACATAAATCGTTTCTTCTTCTTTCTTCCTTTCTCTTAGGATGTGGAGCAGCAAGACAAGATGAAGAAACGTAGGGTAGGCAGACCTCCAAAGAAAAAGATTACTAGCAAGAAAGGTAAGTGCTATAAGAGAGCTGACCTCCAAAGAAAAAGATCCCATATACAAATAGTGTTGTAATTTCAGATCTAGTGCACAGCTTGGTTGATAAAAACTTGTTATGTAACTTGTTAATTGTTATTTTGCGTTATGCGACCTAACAAACCTTAAACGTTGCATAAGCTTTTGAAATAGTCAAGTTACGACATAGCTCTACATTATTATATTAAAGTATGTACTTTCAATGTAATATATACTTTCAATGTAGTGTATGCTATTTCAATATAACATGCATTTCAGTATACGTTACATTGTTCTGATACAATTTATTGTAGAGGCCTAACTGCGTAAGAGTAGCTTTTTAAAAATGTTTTGTTTAAAACTTGAACTGCTACTTTCCAATTGGTTGTTAAGCATCTATAACTTATTGTGGTCGAAAAATTGACATTGTATATTTGATAATTGTTATATTTGAAAATTGTGATGATTATATTTATTAAAATCGTTATGAATATTTATATTTGGTAATTATTTAAATAAATAATAAGACATGTAACCTATGTTATGTATTACTTGTTTTTTGTTTTATATTATTGTGAAGTGAGTGTCACATTATGCGTTATTGTTACTTTAAACATGACCGCCAATTCTTATAGATGAAACCTATTTCTGAAAAGTTTAGGAATGGGATCCACACAACCAGAAGAAGGGGAAGAGATAGTGGGACGTGAAGATAGGAGGGAGTTTGTTGAACTATCCAAGAATTGCCCGCTGAGTGCCAATAGGGAGGGTATGTCTGCATTATACAGAGCTTGTTAATCTTCGAGAATACAAGTAATTGTTCTGATGCCCTTATTTCTGTGCAGGGAAAAAATCTGCTAATGATACAAATATTTGTTTGTACAACATGCAAGAAGACATCATGGAACACTCTCCTGAGTCACACCAACTAGATTCTTCCAATGTAGTTGCCAATTTGCTCAAGGACTCAACTACCCAGGATTTGTCAAAATTGAAATCTTTCAACAGTAGAATTGCTGAATGTGATGCTGAAGAACCAAGGCAAGCTTTTCCTTTTGATGAAGATGATGTTCACAATCATGATGATCTTATTCCGAATGGATCAAAGGAAGCAGTGGAGATGGAGAGATCGCTGGCTGATCATACACCCGATGGACTATCACTTCTCAAGGAGTATAATGCTTGCGATCAAACATCAAATGCTTGCGATCAAACATCAAATGCTTGCGATCAAACATCATTGTCTGAAAAGGTGTCTGGTGAGATGGATGTTAGAACACCCGCTGACCACAGCCCTAATGCTTCATCACTTTCTAGAGAAGAGCATGTTCCTGATCACGGTGACTTCACTTCTAGTGAGTCTTTGATGGAGAAGATTGTTATTGAGATGGAGAAGACTTCAAATGATCCTGCACATCTGAGGGAAGATATTCATTTTCATGATCATCTAACTTCAAGTGGATTGCCCTCAGAAAAAGCTATAACTGAGGCAGAGGGGAGACTTGATGTTTATCCCATATGTAGTATGTCACCGCATAGCTCAGTGGCATTGCCTTTTGTGAAGGAGTCTGCAATGTGGGAAACTGTCGAGTCAATGGAAGTATTTCACACAACTCCACAACAGCCACATTTTCATCCTTTGAAGCAGTATGAGGTAGAGTATCGCGAGGGAATGGCTATTGGTTTGATGGTGACCTTTGCCAATTTAGTTTCTAGTATTCAGAAGCTGCGGATTACCGATTCTGAAGATATTTTTGAAGAAAAATTGAAGGTCCTTATTTCCTTGGAGTCACATGGATTCAATATTCAGTTTGCACGATCTTGCCTTGAGAAGTTACTACAGATACGAAGTAATGTTAGTCATTCTCAGGGCAAAAAAGTGTCTTTGAAAGAGAAAATACTAGAGGCAGAGGATGAGAAAGATCAACTTGAAGAATTTATTGCTGCACATGATAAAATCATATTGGACTTGGAAGAAAATCTCTATCGCTACAAAGAGAGAAGGTCGTCAATGATTTCAGGGAGGAACAAAAAGGATTCTGAGATTGTTCAGTTAAAAATGAATCTGCAAGCAACTGAAGAAGCCTTTTCTTCTGCAGAAGAGAACTTTAATGCTGTTGCGCGATCCATGGTAAATGTAACATGATCTTATTCAAACAGGTGACTTCACTTCAATTTTGTGGAAATATAGTATATGTTATCATCAAGTCATTAATTTTTAGGGCACAGTTTTCTGAGAAATACTGCATTATTTGTTCCTTGATCTGGTCTTCCATGCCTGCATTACCATAGTGATTGAATTCTGATCATGTTGATATTTATGCATTAGTCATGAAATATTCCTATTATTTTCAGTATTTTCCTTTTAGGAAAATGACTGAAGGAGTTGGGATAATTATGTGAATGTTTCACATACCTCTTGTTATGCATAAGAAAGGTACCATCACTATTCTGATAATCTTATGACATATAGTAAAATATTTATGACCATCTTCAATCTTTTAATTGCTGAAGGTTAGTAAGAAATAATACACTAAAGAAATAATTATTTGGAGTTTTAATAGAGGGTTAAACATGCACCATCTGGTGCATATTAAGATGGGAGTGGTAAATGAATTTGTTGATTAAATTTTATCCACAGTAAGAGGTTCTCCAAATTGGAAGATCTTGAATTATAATTTCAAGATTGATAACCAGACTTCCATACGTTAGGAATATTTAGTGGGAAAGTAATGTGTGAGGTTTATCCGAAAGTTTAAAACCTCTTAATGTTGGATGGAAGTTACCAACTTGGTGAAGCTTTGACAGGTAATGCTAGTGTTGATATGTGGATATGTTGATAATATGATCTTTATTTCTTGGAACATTTTTTTCTTGCTTTTGAGATTTTCTGAAACTTGAACTTATAACTTCATGATATGTTCTCTATTTTCTTTTTCTTTTTTGTTAAAATAGAGATTTTTGCTATATGGAGTAATTCTTTTTTATTATACTGTTTCCTGACAGTAGATTGATCGTCGTGTATTGATAAAGTCTATTTGTTTGAGAAATGATTTGTCTTCATTAAAACTCAAATGCACCATTGATATTAAAATTTCAAGTTCCTTTTTGCTTGTTATTGTTGAGGTGTCTGCTTAGACTCTGCATCTTTGCTCATATTCTATCAGGATTCTGGATTTCTCTATTATTCAATAACAGAGGAAAAGGGGAAAAAAAGGCTTTTCCCTATTTGTTCTATGTCAATTCAAATATCCACTATATGTTTATGTACTTACATATGAATATCATTGGTAAGCATCTGAGTGTATTGAATATTATGCATGTTCAGCAATAATTGATGTGTATTTTTTATACCTGGTGTGGTTCAAGTATTGGCCTTCATGATTTAGCATGTTTTGAACAGTTCTTTAACCTATGTCTACAGATGAAGGAGTATTAGGTATATTTAATCAAAATGTAAGATTTCACGTACATAAAATGAATATTTCTCTCATAATATAAGTTGTAAGAAGTATGTAATCTGGTTCACTCCCTGGGTATTGCTTTGGTTATAGGCATCTAGTATGAGGTTAAGTATCGGAAGGAATGGCTATTGGTTTGGTGCTGACCTTTGCCAATTTAGTTGCCAGTATTTAAAAACTGCGGATTACCGATTGTGAAGATACTTTTGAAGGAAACTTAATGAAAAAGAGCAACTTGTAAATATTATTGCTGCGCATGATAAGATTATATTGGAATTAGAATGAAATCTTTGTCGCTACAAAAGGAGGAGCCGAGGAGGTCATCAGTGATTTTGGTAAAAAACAAAAAAGTATTCGGAAATCGCTCAGTTAAAAATGAATCTTCAACCAACTAAAGAAGCCTTTTCTTCTGCAGAAGAGAACTTTAATACTGTTGTAGGCTCTATGGTAAATGTAACATGATCTGTTCTAACAGGTGAGTGACTGTACTTCAATTTTGTGCAAACAAAGGGTCATAATTTTAGTTTACTATTTATTGAGAATTTACTGCGTCCTTTGTTCCTTGATCTGGTCTTGCACGACTGCAAAACCACAGTAATCTATATTTTGATTATATTGACATTTATACATTATTTTGTCGCGAAATATTCCTATTATTTTGCACTATTTGCCTTTTTAGGAGAATGACTGAAGGAGTTGGGATAATTATGTGAATGTATTACTTCACATACTTGTTCCTACGCATAAGAAAGGTACCATCACTATTCTGATAAATCTTGTGATATAGTAGAAGGTTTATTTCCATTTTCAATCTTTTAATTGCTGAAGATTCTATGAAGTAATATGCTAAAGAAGTGTTCAGAGTTTTTAGTACACGGGATGGCATTTGTTAGGTATCATACACACACTTGCAATTGCAGGGACATTTTTACATGATGGCAACATATACATCCGAAGAAAAAGGATAAACCGATGTATATATTTGTGGACCAGATTAGTCCACATCACTACCAAACCCATTTAGAAACTTCGCACTAAGTTTCTCCATTTTTCTCATATATATATATATATATATATATATATATATATGAGAAAAATGGGTATACTTGGTACCAAGCACAAATTTTGTGCTTGGTAGTGATGTGTCTCATTCTGTATATATATATATGTGTGTGTGTGTGTGTGTGTGTGTGTGTGTGAGTGTGTGTGTGATTAATGAGTATCCTTGTCATAGGAGGAAATTTCCCTCTTTGTCGCCTATGTGACACAATCCCCACCATCCTCATAAAGTAGGCACAAATCCCTACCAACTCACACACTCTCTCCTACTTTATGAGGATTGTGGAGATTGTGCCACATAGGCGTCAATGAGGAAATCCCCTCCAATGACAAGGATACCCATATATATATATATATACTAGTTGGATTACACGTGCAATGCACGTGGTAAAAAATTTATATTTATTTTTATTTGTTATTTTTTGTAGGGATTGATTTGATACAAATTTATTGAATTTAAACCATGTAGCAAACATATAGATAGATGATAAAAATTCACAGTGTTTGATTAATGAAATTACATTTATGGATCAATTGGACGATAAAAATGAATACTTAATATTAGTATAGTGCACGTGTTTTGCACGTGGATATAATTGTCGAATATTCCGAAATCTTTTTGTGGATAGAAAAGTGATAAATTAACCAGCCTGATGGAATAGATAGAAAGGGTAAAGCAAAGCATTAGAAAGAGGTAAGAATGTTTTTTATTAGAACTAATATTAAGTATTCATTGTAACGATTATTAACATCCACATGTTGATATTATGTATTTGTTAGCAACCTCATTATGTTAGGTTGGTCGGATCTAATTTTATTTGCTGAAATTTGAAGAAAATAAAGAATTTATTTTCTAATTTCAATCAGAATGAATAGAAAATATTCAAGTAGTTAAAATGAATAAGTAATATCATGAAAGTAGAAAATAGAGAAAACATTAAAAATAGAAACATATAGAAACTAAAAATAAAATTTCAATGATTTTTTTCCCAAAGAACCAAGTAATTGGTAGAATTAAGCAAATTTGGGTAGTGGAATGCACATTACAAGATAAGAGCAATCTTAATTGTTACACATCTAAGAATAGACAAAAAGTAGGGTAAATTTCAGAAAATCCCCTAACAATTTTAGGTGCTTCGCATAATACCCTCACTATTTTGTTTTTCCACTTAACCCCTAAAACTCCAAATTGTCATCTCCATATTTTGTTGAGTAGGAGTCAACAATGGTCCTAAATCAATGATTCGAAACTTCCTTTCTTTAATCTTGATTCACATGGAAATTCAAAAATTATAATAATACTGATGAAATTGGGTAGATCCGACTTCCTACGAGCATGGGTATTGCCTAACCGGATTTCTTAGTTTAGATATTGTAGGGAAGGCCCGATAAAAATGCATGACATGACCACATAATCCCTATACTTTAACTTTTTCCACTTAAGACCCCAAACTCCAAAGTGTCTTAAATAACCCTTTAACCTTCTAATGTTTCCCTAAAAACCTTTTTAGGATTATTTGAAACACTTTAGGAATCTTAGGAGTCAAGTGGAATAATTTAAAAAATATTGGGGGTTTATATGATACGCTTAAAATTTTTAGGGTTAGGTGGAAAAAGTTATAGTGGGGATGTTGGAGAAATAGAATATTAGGGGTATTGATAGAAAAACACCCTAATAGTAAACTACAAATCCTAGGACTCATGTGAATGACATTTTTGTAATTATCCTAAAGCATGTACGATCTAGATTTACCCGTGTAGGACTTTGTTTTGGTAGGAATACTATTCCTTATAGTGTATTCTTAGAGGCTTTGCTGAGTTTGCTCCATATAAAAAGGATCCTATACGCCTTTAAAAGCAGATAAGAAGTGAATATGGTTTCGGTCCATATGAAAAGGATCTTATACACATTAAGAAACAGATTAAAATAAATTTTGTCATAGTTCTAATCCATATATAAAACGGATTGATGAGCTGTACAAAAATGTTTAAGGTTTAAACTTATAATCAAGAATTTTTGTGTAATAGAAGGGTATAATTTAATTAAAAGAGTAGTTTTTTTCCCTCTTCTTTTCTTTATTTTCCTTGTGGTGAAATGCAATAAGCAAAATGCTTCATTAGACAACACTTTTTCAAAGTGGACAAGAAACATATAATATATTCTTTTGTACAAGAACTACCAACAAAATTAGTGTTTATTACTAATACCGCTCGACTAACATCGCATCTAACAAAACAAAATAAAACAAAAATCAAACCATGAGATTAAATAGCTCATTCTGATGCTTGTATTGAAATGCGTGATTGGTGAAAAGTCACACGCGCGTCAGAGCGACGCTCCTTGGCCTGGAAGTAGCCTTTGCACTCATCAAATTCGAGGCTGCGGAAGCAATTCTGGGTACTCTTTGCGGTGATGAGTGTGGGCATTGAGACAGAGCCTACTTCTTTGATATGGGCTCGGGTTGTGCTCGACCCATGGCATCAGTGGAAGAGGAGGAGGAGATTGGTGATGGGGAGCTAAGGTTAAGTAGTTTTTATATTTGGAATGGGGTTTGGGAGTTAAAGACATAGAGGATATGAAGATGCTTGATTTAAGAGCCAGGGAGTTGCTGGGATTCGAAAGGACTTGAATTAAGAAGAGGGAGTGATTTGCTGAGCTTTGAAAGGACAGATCTCTTGCCAATTTAAACGTTATATAAAGCCATTCACATTCTTTTTTGTGACGGCTATTCATAAATTTGCGGGTGTCACCTCTTTGTCTCTCTTTTTTTTAAAATTCCATTTTAGATTTTCTTTCTCCAACTTTGAAACATCTAAATATAATTTGAAGATTGATAACCATCTGGATTTCTGTATTAGCATTGGGGACAAGTTTCTGGGTCAGTCAAGTTTGGGTGGACTGTGGGTGCAGATCGCAATGGTCTGAAATACTTGGCAGGAAAGTAATGCGAGAAGTTTCTCCTTAAAGTCTAAATCTTCTTTGATAATTTTTTTTTATGGAGATTACTGATTTGGTGAAGCTTTGACAAGTAATGCTAGTGTTTATATGTTGATATGTTGATAATATCTACACTTGTTGGGAGTTTTTTTTGGTGCTTTATATTACTATTAGGAGTTAATATTGTTGTGAAGTTAAAATAACAGATTTAGTTCTTGGGATTCTTTGAAATTTGGATTTATAACTTCATAATATGTTCTCTATTTTTATTTTTTGTTGTTAAGAAAAAGATTTGTTGATATATCAAAAGGCAGGGGGAAGTGTTTCACTATTTGTTAAGAAAAAGGTTTGTAGATATATTACAACGAATTGGCATCTTTTATTCATATCAAAAGGCGGGGAAAGTTTCACTATTTGTTTCTACGTCAATTTAAGTATTATACCATTTGTCTCTTTTTTTTTTAGTAAATAGAAATGACTATCACAGTTGTTAGGATTAATGTATACCATAAAACTATCCCTTGATTCAATTCTGAACTGATTGTTAGGATTAATTTTGACCCAGTTTTTTGGTGCTCGCTGAACACTCCCTAAAGTTTGACCTCTGCAGTAGTTTTTCCTTCCGTTCACATGCAGCCTCATCTTTTTCCTCCGACAGAGCTTTTTAAAGTTATAGAATTTTGAATTTTTGCTCTGAAATTAGTACTGCAGCGAGAAATTTTATATCTTCAAAAAAAACATGGGGCTGTCTGCAACAGGAAACTAGTGGTTTTCATTGCACAGACCAGAGAAAAATTAGGGTTGGCTTCACGTAAGCCGTCTGTACTTTGGAGGGCGTCGCTTTACCTTTCTAAAACTTTATTATGTCACATAACCCCCTTGATTTTTGGGTCTCTCACATAAGCCCTTCTGAACTTTGAGCTTTTCTTATCGGAACCCCCTACGTGTAGTTTGCAATGACCCAAAGTTTTCTATAGAGAAGAAAGAACCAAAATTTAGGGGAAGTGGTACGTTGCTTGTAAATGACAAATGACAAAGTTTTAAATTTTTCTTTGAAAAACATTTTAGTTATTCGCAAATTATATGCAACGGGGTTGATTGAGTGAGAGAAGGTTAAAATTCAAGGGGCGTTTTGTGAGATATCTCGAAGGTCATACGGTTATGTGAGACAAACAAAATTCATGGGGACAAAAGCCCCAACGTTCAGGGGGTGTCATGTGAAATTAACCTGAAAAATTATGTTTCTCTTTAAAATTTGAATGCCATTGTTGTGTTAAACTTTGAGGAAAAATCTTCCCCCCTTTTTCAATAATATAAAAACATTTCGTTTTCATCAGCATCATCATCTAGAGCAAACGTATTGTGACAACAGTTTCTGCAAACTTGTCTCGAGTTCTCCGTAATATGCGATCTGTGACCGTAACTCTTCATTCTCCTTCTGTAACATCTTGTTTTGCTCCAGCATCTCATTTTCATTAATCTCAGCTGCTGAGCTTTTCTTCTCCCTGGCTCTGAGAAAACTGGGGAAAACACTGGGTTTGCATCTTCTCCTGGTAATATCTGACAGCAAGCATCTTTTCCCTTTCTGAAACTTCTCGTGTCGGAATTCCCAGCGATCGGGAGATGCCTTCTTGAATCCCTGATATAGCCGGTCATTATTATATATAAGAAGCATGCAACTTCTGCTTAACAAATAAAAAGTTATCCAAAATGTAATCATGGTGTAAATAATTATATTTATAGGGTCATTTACGAGCAACAGTCCTACCCCAAACAACCACACCACCGACACACCCACACAGGGGGGGACCCACCTCACCCACCATGAGTAGTTTAAAAGATGCGGTACCCTACGCCATCCAAACGTGGAAATTTTCATCCAAAAGTTTTCATATAACGTTCATATGCTAATTTAATAGATTTCTAACGGTTAAATCCGTTGAATTTATCGTCACTATATATCCAAATTATAATTTTAAAACAGAATTGAGATATATTAAAATTAGAATTTTGGAAGCGTTATAAATAAATTTAACAAATCCTAATGATTAAAAAAAACTCTAAAATTAACATGTGAACATTATAGTGAATTTTCGGGTGAAAATTTTCATGTTTGCATGATAGAGGATATAACGCGCCAATTTTAAACAAGTTAAGGCATGTAATAAAAAAAAAAAACAACAACTAAGGCTATAAAGTGCTGAGGAAATGTATATGGTATTTGAGTGCCATTTAGCCTGCAAACAACCGCTATATATATTTATCGTCAAAGAATTAATATAGTCTCTCCAAATGTCTAATTAATATGAATTTGACAAAAAAAAAAGTAAAATTCCCAGAAAACTAGATGATATACTCATGAATCATGACTCCAACCTTGCTGATGAATTCGAAAGATAAACACTAGAAACAAACAGGATGCTTGAAACTTAGAGATTCGATCTACATGAAATAACATCAAAATATATATTGAGAGCCACATACGTAAGTATTAAGCTGCCGAATGAAGCTAGAGAAGTTGCAGTGCTTGAAATACCGAGGCAACACGAACCGAGAAAACTCCTCCGGCGACCAAACAACGAACCCCGATCCCTCCTCGTTCCACGATACGACGTCGTTAGAATCCCTCGATTCCTCGACCAAATCGTACGTCTTCGACAGAAATGGAGCCAGAGACCTCAACTTCGACAGCGATGTCATCTCCTCAGCTCCAGCTGGAGAGGAGGATAACTGTAGTCTTTGTTCCAATTCTAGCTCCCTCTAATTTGATCACATATTCTTTTAAATAGGATCGATGTAGGAGTATGATTAGGATGTTAATTTGTGGGATTTTCTACTTGAGTATGGTCCTATCTTGTGTTGATCGTTTAATAAGGCGGACCTAAAAAAAATTTAGGCAAATATTTTCTTTGATAACTCGGTCTGGAATCGGACCTAACAGCGAGAGAGGCGTATTGGAATCTTCCAACCATTTGGATCACCCGCGGTGGGTAAAAATATAGACCAATATTTGATAGGTTGAAATTTTAGTTTAGTTTGGTTACTATTCTTTTTTAATATCCATTCAGCTATTACATGTTACTTCTCGAAAAATGTGTTTCGAAGGGTAGAACGGTTAAATTTGATGGCATATTGAAGTCAGATAGACTAAAGGGCCAGGGCGTGTTTGACACCTCACTAAAAATGGGCTAAATTTGATCCTTGAATTAATTTTGCCAAGAAGTAGTTTAGTTGTGGACTAACTCCCCATTGGTTCCCAACTATACTAGTTTAAAGATCCAAAAATAAATTGAAGTAAACTGGACCATTTCTGGTCTAAAATTTGCCAATCAAGAAATTATGTTCAAACTCGGTTTGATTTTAATGACACTACAACAAAAGTTATAAATTGTGATATATTTTTTGTCTCTACGCGACATATTTTTGTATCACATAAATAGAGTGTGACACATATCAAAAGTGTGGTTACAGCATGCGTGGAGAGCGTCCTTCTATACATGTGAGAATGTATCGTAAAGCTTACGACACATATATATGTCGAGAGTGGTGACCCATACATGTGTCACAAAACTCATGACACATACATGTGTCAAGATTGGTAACATAGTTGTGTCTAGACCATAAAAACATAAAGAATATCATCATTTGTCACTCATCCTAGGATTACTCTCATAAGAACACACTTAACTATAAAGTTTTTAGCTTATAAGTTATCATAAATGTGTAATCATCATTACAATTAAAATCTAAGAGTTATTATTTAAGCCCATCAATAGATCTCTCCACAATCCATATTGAGTTATTAGCATTTTTCAATAATATTTAACTGTATATCCAATGACACAAATATGTGTCATGATGCGATACATTTTTTATTTGTGTCACTATTGTTTAATATTTTACAAATAAAATGATACTTTTATATGTATCATAAAATAAGTGTGGACACATACAATTTTTATTGTAGCGAGAGTTTTCGAACAGTTCTTAAGTTCTGAAGTCTTGATTAGTTTATAAATCGTGGAGATCCTAAGAAAGTTGTTAATAGTGGTGCTTCGGTTGGGATTACGGTTTAGACCAAAGTCAGGTTAATCCATAGAAAGAAGTGCCCTTAATTAGCGAAAATGAACAGAAAGTTAGGATCACTATCTAGTAATTAACTATTTTTTGATTGGTTGGATGCTTAGGCTCTATTTAACAACCATTTAACTTCTAGAAAGAGCCACGTTCTGCTACAAATTATATGATAGTTTAATTATGTCAAACGTGCGCATTAGAGACCAGGGAATACTGAAAGTATATTTGTTTATTGTCGTTTAGTGGAAGATTATGAGGTTTCTTTAGAAAAAGGAGACGTAATGAGAGTGGGCGGTGCAAACAGCTCCATATTTTGACTGATTTGCTTTTATTTATTTGACGGCCTCGTGCGTTTTTTTTGGGTTTGATTCTAGAGAAAATTGTGTCGGCTCCAAAAGTACAAACTTTATGTGCTGTAGCCCCTTTAACTTTTCTCCATGTGATTCAGCCCCTTAAAATGTGATATTTTATGCTGCAACCCTTTTTTAGTACTTATTACATGTCACCTAAGTTAAAATCCTCAAAATATCCTTATCTCATCTCCTCAATCCCTCAAACCCAACGCTTTCTCATCTCATCTCTCCTCTCTCTCTCTCTCTCTCATCTCCTTTCTCCTCTCTCAAGCTCTCAAACCCCGCTCCTGCCTGTGACTACACCCTTCACCATGATGTCGGGCTTCAAATCTGCGCCCCGCGAGTTCAGCCCTCGAGTTTGCCGCCGCCTCCCCTCCTCTCCTCTACCCGACCGTTTGCCGCCGCCTCCCCTCCTCTCCTCCGCCCGACCTCGTCACCGTAGCTCGCCGCCGCTCCCCGCCTCGCCCTCGACTACGCCGGAGTTCGTCGCCTCCTTGTCTACGCTTCACTCCTCCTTCTCATTGTCCTCAAGCTAGTCCTCAGCATGTCAGCAAGCAAAGATGTTCTCGTTCTAGCCTCTCTTGAAGTCGATCTCTCTAGTATCGAACCAGGTTCAACTGTGACAGTTGTTTGCGGTGAAAGTTGATTTCTTCATTGCTATCGAATCTATTACAACTTTAGTCGTTACAATAAACCCGAATAAAATAAAAAGTTGATCTTTTTATAAGATCTCCTTACACAATGAAAATAAAAAATTTATAACTTTATCAAACAAACGCAGAGATCGTTTATCGGTCTTCTGCTTGCGTGGGATCTTTGCATGTGCCGGAGTTTATCCGTGGACCACCGTCGATCAGATCGGATTGCTGAAAAATTGGGCAGAGCTTTGTTGATTTGCGAAGGAATCAAGAAATCGTAGCGCTTATCTCGGCAACGGCGAGATAATTACTCTTCTTAAGATTATCGCAACGGGATATGTTAGACCCTAGAGGGGGGGTGATTAGGGTCTTATGCTAATCTAATCCGATTAAATGTCAATTAAAAACTAATTAACAAGTTATCCTAGCAAGTATGAAATATCACAAGATATATGAGCTAGGATAAGCAATGTAAACAATGAGATATATCCTATATGATAAAATATATGCAAGGATATATAAACAACACAAGGGTAAATAATCTAAACAAGATAGTGGATGATATAGATAATGAGCTAATGACAATGGCGATATAAGATATGAACATAAATATGAATGAACGCCAAAGCACACTCAAACAAGCAATATGATCACGGAGTTCGGACCTTCCGTCCTACGTCTCCGCTCCCCACTCCCGGGGAGAAATCCACTATCACGACCGGGTTTTCTACGCTCACCCGAATAACGTTTACAACCACACAGTGTCGGTTTTCAACGCTCACCGAACAACGTCACTCCTCACAATCGGTTTTCTAGTTCACCGAAAACTTTCACCCCACACTCGGTTTCTAGCTCACCGAAAACCTCACAACACACTCGGTTTCTAGCTCACCGAAAACCTAACAATCTCACAATGTAACAAATATAATTTGTTCTCTAATATGGATGAGAACACAATTAAAGCACAACTCAAAGTTACAATCTCTCACCACCCAACTATACTATGTATGTAAATACTAAAAGCTCAATGTGGGTGTGTGTAACAATGAGTAAAATCAAAATCAAACTAAACTCAAATATAAAATCTAGCTTAAGAACAATGATAATCAAACAAGTATATAAATGTAAAGCTAGAGTTTGAGTTTAGAAAACTTCTCAATTTGATAACAAGAGATGGAGGGATGATAGTTGGAAGCTCAAACTTCAATAGATAATCTCCTCAAGCTCTTGTGGAATTTGATTCACAAAATCGAAACACTCAAATGCTTAAAAGCTTATAAACACACTTTAAACAAACTTAAACCCTTGATTAAAACTTTCTTAAACTTGTTTTAAAACTCTCATGGTTAGCTTGAGAGTTGAAGACAATGGGGTATTTATACCCTCTCACAACTCAGCCAAAAACCCCGAAAACGAAATAAAAAAAACCCCACAAACACTCAAGAAAGAGCCGGTAAAAAGCGAACGCTAGTATTGTCGTCGACCAAAAATTCTCGTCATACCATAAAAATGTCTCGACCGATGAAATTTCGGTTCGACGGTGTATCCAGTTCCCAAAACAGAAATCAAACGCAAGACACTTATCCTCACCGTCTACCCGATGGAGCTTTTTCGTCGACCGGTAGACCTCACACCGAACCAACTCTCTACCATGTCTGACGAAAAACAAACGAGCGTCACCACGGTGCGGTCGACCGAAATCTGATACACTCAAAAACTGGTTTATAAAGCTATTTTTAAGACTTTTGAAAACATGTTAAAAAAATAATAAATGAAGTCCAAAAATTATGAAACTTTGGGAAAAGTATATAAACATGTAAGTGAACATGTTACAAAAAGAATTTTCCAAATTGCATTTCCCATTTGTGAAAAATCATCATTTTGCAAAATAGTTCAAAACACGAAAATGTAAACATGTGAAATTTGATATTTTAGCTAAACCATGTTTTGAAACTTTGCACAATGATTATATAGACTTAATAAAATATGGATATGATTATTGTTAAGTCCAAAAACTAAGAAAACCATATTTTCACAAAATTGCATATTCTATGCAATATATACAAAACACTAAATATGATTTCATTAAATATAAGCTTGTTAAAGGGGAAATCATATATAGGTATATAAACATGAAACAAAATAGTATTTTCCAATTCTATTCATTTGTTTCATAGTAAAACTTGAAAACTATCAAACCAAAACATATATGTATATATATAACTATATATATACAAAAACACACATAATATAAAATCTAAACTAGATTACCCAAGCTTGATCTTTATCTTCATTGTAGCTCAACTTGGTACACATGCGGATGAAGCTTGAACTTGATCTTTAACTATGAATTGCATGTTGCTTCACTCCACAGTTCCGCCAACCTCCTCTTGATATGATCGTGTAGGCTCAATCCATCCAACCTCCAACTACGTTGTTTGTCTACAATAAATACGAAAACACAAATACTAGACAAACAACATTAGTGGTAAATTGTTTGTTAAACATCATCAAAACAAGAATGCCAACAGGATAATCTTAAGGAACAGATCCGGGAAACTGCAGATCTGACGAGCTCCTCTTCTTTATGCTGACGAACTCGATCTGATCTCTCCTCCTCCTCTCTGAAATTCGTGCACCTTCAGTCTTCAGTCCGGCAGGGCTTCGCCTAATCTCCAAAATTACAGATCTGAAAAAATGAGGCTCTG